TGCCCCGGGGGACTTCGTGTGAGCTGGCCAGCTTTTCTAGGAAGCACCAGACAGAGCATTTTCTAGGCTCTGAGGGCTCGAACAGTCTCTGTAGCAGCCATTCAACGGCGCCACCTTAGGATAGCAGCCACAGTCCTCGGAAATGCAGGGCTGGCCATGCTCCAGAGGCAAAAATAGACCAAGAGCAGGGTTCAGACCGTGGCATGGGGATGCCAACTCCTGATTTAGCAGAAACCAGATGTCTGTGAGAGTCAGCTTGCTGCTAAGAGCTGTCTAAAGAGCGAAGCGGCCACTGCCCAGTCTGTGTGGTGTCAACATAAAAGCCGAGCAATCACCTCAAAGAGAATAAGAAGGATTTTTACTCTAGAGCCAAATATGCGTGACCACGGCCCAAGGACACAGTTTCAGGTTAGCTCAAATCCCACGTTCTAACATGGTGACAGCTTCAGGAAGTTTTTATAGATATAGAACAAAGCTATAAATCAAGGCACGTTTCAAACTCATTGGTGGAGACATCAGGCGGTGGGCTATCCCAGAGTGGGACAACCTCTGCTATAGGCCTTAGATGCTGTCCGAGGACTATTGTGTGATATTTGGTTTTATGTTTTGGCAAATAAAGCTTGCCTGGAGATCAGAGGGCAGAGCTAGTCACCAGTTAACCATTGAGCCTGGCAGTGGTGGTGCCCATCTTTAATCTCAACCCTTCTGGGGGGCTTACAACTTTGATCCCAGCACAGTCGGGAGGTGGAGACAGGATCTTGGCCCGCATTCGGTCAGAGGGTCTGGAGAGGTAAGAAGTCACTGGTGGCCGCTCCTCCGCTTCTCTGATCTTTCAGGTTATTACCCCAATATTTGACTCCTGGTTTTTATTGATAAGACTAAATAGATTCACACTTCAGAGGACATTTCTAGCCTTTGGGTTGGTAGAGGCCAGGGGGTATGCTAGCACATTCTAAAAGGACTGCGTGAGACTGAATGGGCCCACACCGCAGCATGAACACTTTAGGGTCAGGAAATAGATGAGTGACTGGATGAAGAGAGAACTGGGCATTGCTGAGGAGGTGGCATCCTCTGGCCAGGTCCAGCACCGTAATCCACTCAGCCAGCATTCCATATTAGTTGCACTTCACTCTGGGCCTCAGGAAAAGCCAACATTTAGTGGGTACATATTCCTGTGCACCCAGGGTGGCTAATTTTATGTGTCTATTTGGCTGGGACTTGGGGCCGGGGACCAAACATTTAACCATTCTGGGTGTTTCTCTAAAGGTAGTTTTCTATGAGTTTAGCATTTAAATTGATACAGTGAGTGGACCAGAGGGCAGGCTCCTGAATAGGTGGGCCTTGTGGTTTCAGTTGAAGGCCTAAATAGACAATTGACCCTCCTGGGAGTCAGAGGGAATGTCACTTGCCTCGGGCCTTGAGACAGCAGTGTTTTTCTTCGCCTTCAAACATGGAGAACCTAATTTATAAACCAAATGTTTTCATAGAATAAGGAAATAAGGCAAGAGAGTCTTACTTAGGCTTAAGTGTGAGAGTTTGGGCAAGACCCCCTAGAAATGATTGCTGGGTTGGAACTTGTGAGGCATGGTATACGGTACATGAATTACCCCAGACAAAGGCAGAGCATGGACCTCAGGGGCATGTCTCAGGATAAGGGGCTCAGTCTGGATGGGGTGATGGCTAGGGAAAGTGCACACAGTTTGATGAAGAGGCTACATCCTGAGGTGTGGGGAGACAGGGTAAGGAAGGCGGGCCACAGCCTGGGACTCAGGGAAGACCATGCAGGGGCTCAGACAGTTAGTGGGAGAAGCAGATGTGGACTCAGGGAGATGAATCCCACCACTTCCAAATGCACAGCCACAGGAGAAGCCAGAGAGCAAAGACCTCCATCTTGTATGTGTGTATATGGGTACCCATGTGAGCACATCTGTGGTGTGCACAGGCCAGGGAGCAACATCACATGTCTTCCTCGTTGTAGAACATTATTTCAAGGTGTGTTACTTTTTTGTATGCTCTGGAACATTTGTTTAGTGATGCAAAGATGTGTTTGATTAAATAAAATTCACCTGTGGTCAGGAGGCTGAGTCAGCAATAACTGACAGGAAGTCGTAGGCAGGAGCCAGGTGAGAAAGGGATTTTAAGGAGGGCCGAGGAGAAGCATGAGGCCTTTTTGGAGGACGTGAGCAAGGAGAGGAGGTGATCTACTTGCTATTCAGCCTCTCTGAAGAGCAGAATTCCACCTTAACCTTTGAATCTTGAGTTCTTTAGAGGGATAGAGATTTAGATAAGGTCCTTTGGTAGCTTTGCAAGAGTTGGAGCCTGAGGGGAACAGAACCGCAGCTGGTAGTGGCGGAGTTGCAGTTGCTGATTCGGACAGCCATGACTTAAAAGGCAACAACAATTATTAAAAGGACAACACTTCCTGGGTCACACTCTCCAATGTACTTTTTGAGACAGAATCTCCGCACTTAATATGGAACTCACCAGTTTGGCTAGGCTGGCTTGTGACAGAGGCCCAGGGCAGAGCCTATCACGTCTTCCTCAGTACTTGGACCTGAACATGGAGAGACCTGTGCTTGGAGAGCAAACACTCTACCAACCGAGCCATCCCCCAGCCCTACGACCTTCTCTTCTTTCCCTCCCTGCAGTCCTGGCTCTTATGTCCCCCTGGTCAAACACAGTGGGAAGTCACTGCTCTGACCCAGTGAGGTAGAGAACACCAAAGTTAAACATCAGGAGACAGGGGGAACAGAGGGCCACAGTAGAGGCTGGTTTCCACAGCTTACGATTCATACCCATCCTGTGAAAAACAGACAAAGCATTCACCTTTCTCTCGGTGTCCCCCAAAACATCATCTCATTACTTCCCCAAAGCCAACTCAGATTCCAGGATCTTGTCATCTGCTTTAGTGTGGACAAGGCTCCTTGCTGCTCCTCCAGCAGTTTCTCTCAATCCTGACACCCTGAAGCACGGGGGTTAGCCGTTCATGCACTCCCCACCCCAGCATACAGCGGTGAGGCCAGGCAGGCGATGCTGAAGAACCACTGCTGTTCACAATGGTAACAGTAACGAGGGAGTCACAGCACAGAGGAATTCTGAAGTCCGCTCAGTACGAGTGGGAATTCTCTGCTGGGACTTGACACCTGGGACTCACTCTCAGTGAAGCTTGATGTCCCTTCATCTTGTTGGACAAGTAGCTTCTGTTTACAGTGTCCAAAAGTTTGAGGGTTCAAAGACCTTTTCAAATTTTGTGTTCTCTTTGTGCCAATCAATCCCAGTGTGTCTGTCAGCGTTAACTCCCGAAGTCTGGCAACTCCACCTCATCTGCATTCATTTGGTTACTTACGAAGGAGTCAGAGAACGGAACAAAGACCCTGATCCTAGATACGTGTGTCTGCATGTGTGTGCATGTGTGTATGTAGAGCCATGCTCTGGGCAAGGGGTGGAGGCTGTGTTGTGTGTATCCATGTGGTGCATGTGTGCATCTGTATCCAGAGGTGTGTGTTTATGTGTGTGAATATGTGTGTAGGTGCATGCATGCATGTAAATACATGTATGTGTGTATGTATAGGAGCGCTTGCATGTGTTGAGTGTGTGTGTATGTGTGTGTGTAGCTCCTACTCACTTGGTGTCCTTCCTTCAGGGAAGAAGCTGTGCATGGGCAGGCACAGTTGTGTGATAAGGAAAGAGGGTGAAGAAGTGCAGCGCACAGGGAAACATTTCCATAGGTTCAGCTGCAGAGAGTGTGTGCATGTGTGAGCAGCGGCGGGCTGCGAATAGAGCGCATGAACAGGACCTTTGCTGTAGAAACATGAACTCTCGTGAGAACTCTTTTCCATCAGAAAGTTGAGGACAAAGTTTAAGAAAATGTGGTACATATACACAATGGAGTACTACTCAGCAGAAAAAAAAACAATGACAGCATGAAATTTGCAGGCAAATGGATGGAACTAGAAAAAATCATCCTGAGTGAGGTAACCCAAACCCAGAAGGACAAACATGGTATGTACTCACTCATAAGTGGATTCTAGATATAAAGCAGAGAACAATCAGGCTGCAACCCACAGAACCAGGGAGGCTATATGGCAGGGGAGACCCTAGGATGACTGTGACTTATAATAAGTTTTGGTTTTACTCAATTACTGAGCAAGCCTCAATGAAACATTTCACTATTAAGATAAGACTTCATACTGTATCAAGCTGATAATAGAAAAATAAATAAATTTTAAAAAATCAAAAAAAAAAAAAAAAAGAAAAGAAAGTTGAGGACAGCCTGGGCTACATAACAAGTTCTAGGCAAGTTGGGGTACATATAGAGACGTCTCAAAATGAATAAACAACATTTTGCAGTAGTGTAATTTACGTATGTGTATAATTTTAAAAACAACGTAAAGTCTCAACTGAGATTAAGAATAAATGGTTTATATTAAATGCCGTGTCAACGTGTTCACCCACAGCTGCACCAGAAGACACAGTGACTGAGAGAGTGTAACCCTCGGTGGGGCTGCAAGCGTGACAGCCACGTCGTGTGCTGGCAACTCAAACAGCAGTGTGGCCAGCACTGCTGAGAATTCCTAAAACTCGGGGATATTTCAGACAAAATAAATTGCAAAGCCTTCCTTGATTTCCAGAACTGTGATGATCCTCGAGTTTTAGCTTGTGAAAATGAAAAAGGGAGAAAACTTTGTGTTTATGTATAAAATAGAATATGGTAAAGATTTAGTTAATTAAGGGCCAGAGAGATGGCCCAATGGCTAAGAGCACTTGCTGCTCTTGCAGAGAACCAAGTTTGGTTCCCAGCACCCACATCAGAAGGCTCACAACCACCTGTAACTCTAGTGCCACAGGTTCAATATCCTCCTCTGGCTTTTGTAGACACCTGCACACACACACACACACACACACACACACACACACACACACACATCCATACATATAATAAAAATCCAAAGATCTCAAACAATTTTCATTTAGTTCCTTAAAACCAATTTTCCACCTACCATTTGTCTGTTAGGACATTCCAAATGGTGCAGGTTGTGGGCTAATTCTACTGTGACTTCCGGAGCTGCTGGCATTTCCTCCTGCCCAGTGCATGACAAACAAGGCAGGAGCCCCTCTCCTGATCAATATGGTCCCAGAGTCTTCCAAGGTTCCAAAAGCTTTCCTGGGGTGATAAGAGACTCCCATGCCCAGGCCCTATCCCACAACCAAACAGAGAATTACTACGCAATGGTGTCTTACGGGCTTGTAGTTTGGTTGATAGAGTGCATGCCTTACAATCACGGAGCTTCCACCACTGCATACAACCACGTGTGGTAGCATGCACAAGCCTATAATTCTAGCACAACAGAGTCCTTGTTTCAAAAAAGAAAGTCTGAGAGGTACACATGCAATTTAAAATTCTCCAGGCACTGAAGAATTAAAATGAAGCAATTTCAAGTGACTTTAATAATATCTCTTATATAACTCAGTCTGCTAAAAATATTATCATTTCACCACACTAATCCATATCAAATTGTTAGAGATTTTTAGTCTTCTTAGCCAAGTAAGTCTTTGAAATCCACAGTGATGTGTCTGCCTGTGTATTTCAGCTCAGGGGAGGCACACTCTATGAGCTATCTGCCACAAGTGGCTGGCCACTGATTTTCATATTGGATGGTGTGGTTCTCCAGAGTCTCAAGTCCCCTTCTTTGGCACAAAGACATCGTTTTGAAGTCTTGGTCCTAGACTTTTTTTGAACTTAGAAAACATGGAGTAAGGTTTCTAGACAGGCATGTGGGCCTTGCAATGCAGGGGATACATTGTTCAGAGGAGCTAGAAGGGTGAGAACTGGCCTGAGTCACACCATCCAACTTTCACGGAGAACCAAAAGCCACAATTAACTGCCACTAACCACACATGGCTGAGAACGGGCTGCAAACTGGAGGCCCCCTTGGAAATGATGGAAACAGATGTTCTGAAGAGGATGACCTCTCCTCATTAATTTCAGAATATAAATGCCTGTTAATTTCCACCTTTTTATTGCTGAGCTCCACATAGCAGCATATTCAATGTCAATGGAAATATCCTTTGGGGATACACAATATATCAACTCTGAAAGTCATGGGAAGTCAGGACACTGAGAGGAAGGGAGGGGAACAAGAGAGCAGGGTGAGGGGGCACCTTGGGGCCCAGGGAGATGCTGCCTTTGCCTCTGGCTGTGCTTGAGGCCTGAGAAAGCACCAACCTGGGGCACAGACAAAATAAGAACTATGAGGAGGGAGCAAGGGCCTGGGAAGACAGACATGACTCGCTTTGCACATCTTACAACCTAACGCTGGCCATTACGCACTGGTCACCAGAGGGCATGCCATGTGGACTCCAGTCAAACAAGCAGGTTCAACTTCTTTGCACAGTGCTGGGCAAACTGTGGGGACTTCATAAACTCCCATTTTCTTCCCCTTTAGGACCTATTCCAACAGACTTGGTAGGAGGAATTTAGAGTGGCTGGTGACTTCGGGGACCTCCCAGCACTATCTGGGAAATGAAGAATGCAGTCAATCCCCCAGCGGAAGAATCGAGGTAACCCTCTACACAGATTGAGGCTCCAGAAAAGCACCGTGGCTGAAGACAGCCCAGCTCCTAGTATGTCCATGCCTCAGTGTCATCGGCTGACTAATATGAACAACCAAGGGAAGGAGACACAGAGGTGACGGACTCACTGTTGGATTCACGGTTGTCACCCTAGCAGGACAGCATAGGACAGCAGCAGCAGCACATGCTGGCTGGGCCCTGGGGGAGAGGTGGGCCTGCCACCACCCGCTGCCTCTGACATCCAAGGACATGTATTCACCCCTTCCCGTTGAAGGTTTGCTGAAACCCTGGCTGAGGCCTGAGATTGCAACCATTTTCATGCAAAACCGTGATTTTCACTGTCAGTACTTAGGAGGAAATCCAGTTTCCTTCACAAAAGGAAGCTCTCCTGGGCTTTTAACTTTCCTTCTCTAAGGAGGAAATAAGATGCCTTCAGCAACCTGCAGGGGCTCAGACAAAGCTTTGGAGAACGTCCCAGTCCCCTGCTGTCACTTTTACCCTTGTCTCCTGGCCTACTCCCCGGGAAGGACAAAGGAGAGGAAAAGACCCTCACCCAGAGACACCCCCCCCCCCAGACTCACTCTACCTGGGAGCTGCTCCCCAGTGGGGTGGGGATGCTGCTTGTGAAGTGGGAAGCTGCTCTCCCCACACGAGCCTTGGGTCACCTTTCTTGACTTTGTTAATATTGATGAGGTCATCTTACCAAACTGGAGCTACAAGACTAGCAGTGATCCCCTTATGGCCTTGCTTTTGATATCTGTGCCCATTTTAAGGACACGCCTAGCCCAGAAAGGGGCAGTGAGGCCAGCATCTCCTAGGATGTGTAGAAAACAATCCATGCCCCTCAAGTACCAAATAGTAAGTCCCCTGTTTCTTTACTAGTCGCATGGGAGTTGCGACCTTCTGGGGAAGGATGCTTGGTTTTCACTGGAATGAGTAAAGTGTGCTGGGAATCCTGAAACCTCTTCTACATCTGAGTTAGAGCCTGCACATGGTACAGAGACAAGTACACCTGAGGCCTTTGCTGGGTATTCTGTATGGTCTGGGGAATGATCTATGGTAGACATACTTTGAGTTTTGAATGAGTTTATTAACTATATAAGAAGCAAAAGTAAAAACAAAAATTAGCAAGAGATAGGTAGATGATAGACAACAAGATAATAGACAGATAGATAGACAGACAGGCAAGCAGGCAGACAGGCAGACATATAGCAACACATCATCACATCAGGTGCTCAAAACACCCAGTAGAAACCAACAGTAGAAGTTCCTTTAAGGCATCCAGCTGAGTTCCCAACAGACAGTCCCAGTGCAGAGCCGAGTGTCACCTAAGGAGAAGGATTTTCAAGAAAAAGAACAAATAACAGAGAGGACATCAAATCAGAGGTTCACAGCACCCAGCAGAAATGACTGGGGAAGTGGAGACAGTCAGCTGGAATTCCCAATTGAGCTGTCACTCCACAGCTGTACTTCCGGTGGCTGAACGTCCAGCCTCTTTTTCCCACACAGGCCCTTTTATGGAGAAGCAACAGTAACATCTGTTGGAAACAGTTACCTCTCAGCTGTTCACAAGGGCACAGTGTTTTTACTCTTGGGCTGTTTTTCTTTTTCCTCCTGTCACAGATTTGTCCAGTGACAATGGGCCTTGGGGCACTTTGAGACAACATGGTTGAATCAGGAATTCCCGGGGAAACCCCACTTTCAATCCCAGCTCCTCAGCCAGCTCAAACAGCACACAACAGCTTACCAACATAATGCTCATCACCACCCAGTAGCTCCTAAACACTGAAGGAGTTCCTGGACCCAGGTTGTGACAGAACTTTGCAGATTATGAAAGTAGGGCCACTGCTTCCTCACTTGCAAATCCACCTAGAGCAGCACAAAGATCTTGGATGGCCTAGCCCTCTGTTCTCCAGTCTCCCAACATGAACTTGAACCCCTCCTGCACTGCCCACTTCCACTTGACTGCCCCGGGACACACAGCAGTTGTACTTGTACTCAGAACAATATGGCAGTCATTGTGGGCTGTGGTGTATCTACCACATGTTACTCATCAGCTGACTGGGGCTGCTCTGCTTTTCCCGAATAGAAAGCATGGGTAGGAAGAGAGGTTTTCCACTTGCTGGTGTTTGACAACTTCTATCCCTCAGTATTGGACAACAGGAAGTGTCGTCAGTGGCAGGCGGTGCCCTCTGGCATTACAGCTGTTTTGCAAGCCTTGGGTTGTGGGCAGCTAGCTCCACATGTTACAGCTCTCATGGAGGCCCAGGAAGTCGAGATCCCATAGTCCTCAGCAGGCATTGCAGCTTGAGGGAAATCTAGGTTTTAGGATTCCTCAGACCTTGATAGTGGCCAAGGATATAACTTGTGGACATAGTGTCTAAGACATTGTAATCCCAAAGGTTGCTCATTTTGCCATTCTCTCTAATTTCTCCATCCTCCTTGTTCTCACCCTGGTCACTCTCTCCCCATGCAGCTACCTCCTGTGATGGCCGCTAATGCAGGTGCTTTTAGGAGGCATCTTTTCACTGCAGCTGCTCCTGCTGTTGGCGATGCTGAGAGCCTCCAGTCTGGTGGTTCGGGCCCCTTTCACCGCTGTCCATGGTGCTGATCCCTCGGCTGCTTTTGCAGCTCAGCCTGTGACGACGGTTCAGTTCCAGGGCTTCCGTGGCTCTTCCACCTGTCCGACCATCCTTGCCACGCTGCTGCTTCTGCACCGCCCCAGTCTCTGATGCACCTTTCTTCGAGTTACCAGATGAGCCTTCTTTAGTAATGGCCGTCAAAAAAGACCACAGGAGAGGACCTATGCATTGGATCTCTTGTCACCATACCAAGAGAGGCAGGACAGAAGGATGTCTCCCAGCCTCATCACTCGGTGAGCTTGTACAATAGGAGAAGGGATGTAATGAAGGCTTCTGCTTGCACCAGCCACGGCAGTGTCTTTTTTTTAGATCTGTCTTATTAGTCTCCCTCTACTAGGCCATCAGGGGAAGTGTTCCCTTCTGTGACTCAGATGGAAAGATTGTAGGATCATCCAGAGTTGACTTATGACAGCAAACATGTGTTACAACATGTGTGACATATAGCTTAAGAGGCTTTGGTGTGGCTGTGTACCCTCGGTGGTCAGACAAGACACTTGTAGTTTCCTCAAGGCTTCTGTGGGGTGCCCAGGGTAGCTGGTATCAAGATAGTCTGTCTTTGATCATCTTCTGCCCAAGCAGCCAGGACGGCAGGGAATCAACAGCTGCCATCAGAGTTGAGTTGGCACACTGTTCACCCACACACACCTTCACCTGTTTCCAGGAAAGTGGACAAGAGGAGGAGTGCTTACAGTAAAAACTTAAAGCGTTTATCGCTAATCCTCACAGTGATTAAGAGTGCTTTCACAGCCTAATGCCCCTGCCCAGTACCCCAAGAGGTGAGTCTCCCGTCACCTTTCTCCCAAAGATCCCTCCTCTTCCAGCTGATTGAAAACTGGATCTTCCCAAGCACGGCGGCACGGGCTTTTAATGAAGCAATACGGGGTGGGGTAGAGGGAGGAGGAACATGGTTTGAGATCATCCTCAGCTACACAGTGAGTTCAAGACCAGTCGGGGCCACATGTGACCTTGTCTCAAAACACACACACACACACACACACACACACACACACACACACACAGGGCTGGCAAGATGGCTTAGTGGGTAAAGCACTTGCTGCATAAGTCTGATGACAGTTGAGTTCAATCCCAGAACCCATCACATAAAGGAGAAGGAAAGGCCTGCCTCCACAAGGTTGTCCTTTGACCT